CCAGGAGAAGACGATTAACAATAAGAACTGAGAATTGTCGACGATCTGAAAGCGAGCAAGATCTTAAGGTCTTAAGCATTCACATAAAGGAGGAAAAGCATTTAAGCCATCTTATAAATGTAAAGTCAGACCTGATAAAACTTGACACTCAGTAATGGCTTTTTAACAATAACATCGATGTGATCTGGAGAAAACAGAAGTTCTGGAGCACTCTCAGGCGTGGCTGCAAAAGCAGATAAGCGGTATTCACCAGGTGGTACCTGGAAAACATAAGTACCCGAATTCATATGACAGAAATGAAAACCTGTATTGATCGCCCATGATGTAGATTTATAAGTTATTTGCTTCAAATAGATGTGACGATATACAATAAAGTAAACACATTAGAAAATTTGTGAATGTCACACTTGAGAAATTACACCCCATAAAAGGAAAAAATAAGTGTCGCAAGAAAAGAGCTTACTTCAAAGCAAAAGTTGCCACTTTCATCAGTTTGTTTCACTTGGGGTTTGACATTCTCTGGTCCATGAGTCAGAGCAACCTGAAAATTCAGATGATTGATTACTTGTACCAATTCAGGAAAGGCATTGAAAAAGATCGTAAAGCCTATCGTGTTTTCAGAAACAATGCAGAACTCGCAACATGATATTTGCAGTCAAACCAACCTCCACCATACCCGACCAATATATCAATCAGTGTTCAGTGGATGCACACACCTTCAATATCACTGCCACCATCCAAACAAATTAAATTTTCTGGATCTCCATGGAATCATCACATCCAAAATATTACCATTAAGAGATTTCTTCACCTATTAAACTTCTGTTTGCTTGCAGAAAAGTATTGTCTACTAGGATACTACCAGTGACAAACTTGCAAATTACCAGCTACAGCGATTTAGCGCTATACTAAATTATGACCAAGTGAAAAGAAAAGAGAAAATATACCATATTAGTTTATGTTTCCTAGCCATCTAAATCAATTATCAGGCTACTAGCTAGTAAGAAAACGATATGCACAATGTTGTTGTGATTTGCAAAGAGATGACAAACAAATTACCTTAGCTTTGTAAGCAGAACTAACTGTCTGTGCCGTGCCGCATAAATCATATGATACAGCTTTGATATCAACAATTGAAACCATGTTTGGTAAAACCTAAGCAAAAAACAGATTAGGGCAGAAAAATGAAATGAAATGAAATGAATGAGTAGCCAATGAAGATCCACAGGGATCAATTAATGGTGCTAATTATCTTTTATCTATAAACTTGTCTACTTTACTGAAATGTTAACAAAATAAAAGCTGAGAGAATCTCTTACCAAAAAGTCATTTAGTGTTTCAAACTTGTAGTGCTTCTTCTTGGCTTCAATACTGTATCTTTGTGATGTAACCTGAGAGCATTGATGATTCATCACTCAAAGGCCAAAACATAAAAGAACAAAAAAGTTCTTACTAATTGTAAAGGGAAACCAGCTGATTGCATGAGATATGCAGGACATTAAAGCTGCACAGTTAAAGTAGCAATGTTTTGCTTATGCATGCATATTTAAATATCTCTACCACACACGACAATTTCTTCAAGCTCTTCAAAAACAAAGAAAATGACAGTGGTTAGTTGATTGTTTGTCAACAAAAAAGACTCACTTCACTGACTGCATTGCGTGATTCCAATAACCTTATTCATATTCTCTGATGAAGCATATGACTACAAGTCTCCTGGGTTTTGACACCTTTAAATGGATGCAGATAAGCAAGAACATTGTAGACTATGAGATTAATTAATTTAACAAATGACCAGAAAGGTAATTTTTTGTGTCTCTTCCTACAGTAAGATTTATAAAGCTTCAATCTAAATCTCCACAAGGTATAATATGATAATGACAAAATTCCTGACACCATTGCTCCTTGGACATATATATTGCAGTACATAGGACTTCAACACACTAACCAGGCTACGAATTCACCTTAAATAAGAAATCAACTGCACATAAATGATATATCTACATAGTTGACAGCATGTACCAGATAAAAATGGATGATCAAGTGGAAAGGAAAAATGTATGAACAACAGACAAAGTCAGGTTCTTTATTGCAACAATGATTGATTACATAAGATTTGAGTTAAACACAAGGACTCAACATGAAATTTTGGGCATTATAAAGAACGTAATTTTACCTGATCAAGTTTGTAATATCCTTCTTTATCAGTTATTGATCTTTCATGGCCATCCACTATGATTTTTGCAGCATCCACCCCAATGCCATTACCATCAACAACACGACCTCCAACAGAAAACCCAGTTACCTGTCCAATATCAACGAGGCAAATGATTACTCTATTGAAAATAAAGCAAGTTTAGCATAAAAAAAATGGATGAAACCGCAAAGTACATTACAAGAAAGTGAACTAGTTCAAAATAGGCAATGCTGTTCACTAATTCATGCGTCCTAGGGAATGCAGTTGCATGAATAAATGAAGAATGTAACAGAGGGAAGCATACGCAAATTATAGATTACAAAAATCTTTGCAGCAAGCAAGTTATTGGTCACAGTAAAAGTAAAAGGAGGAGAAAGAATATTAACCTGCTAACTAGAGCACATAACACTATTCCATTTTTCCCCGTGAGTAATATAATACCATTATATAACTAAACCATCCATTTTCAAGGACAAGAGATAAACAATAAATCCATTTTCAGTTTTCATAAGGAGTTACTGAAAATGAATTTTAACATATGAAAACTTTTCAGTACCCCCTTTGTTTCCATATGTTCAAAATAAATCCTGCAATGCACTTTGCCTAAACTAAAATGTTATTGGAGATAATTCAGGCAAACAATGTTTTGTACCTGAAACCTTTGAGGGACTATAGCATGATCGTGCTGAACAGAGACCAGCATTGAAGGAGGTGAAACATCAAAAACTGTATTCTCGCCCTTGTAGAAAGGTATCAACTTGTAGATACCTGAAACATTTCACCAATCATTCGCTAAGCACCAGACACTCAACAAATTTGTGCAACAACTGTGGTATTACTGTGCGTTCAAAGATAGAAGTTCTGAAGCGTTTTAAGTATTTTATCAAATGAATGCAGGATGAACCTCAACACCTAGGACAAGCAGACAAGCAAGAGATTCACTCGACATAGAAATTATTTTATTTTGAGTTATAAGTTATAACGCTTGTATACCCCCATTTCATACCTAATCAAGGGAACATTCGGATAAAGATTGAGGAACCGGATATATTGCGCTAATTTACTTTCTTGGTAAGAAAAATAGTTTTGAAAGTAAGTTCCTGAATGGACTGATAGATTTCCAAATGCAATCATCAATTCCGGTATTGCACGGTGATTGATGCATGTCTAGTACAAAATTTCAACATCTAAAAATTTATCAGCCAACATAGGGCATGTTGGAAAATAGGGAAACTAGACCTCTAAAAAGAACAAACAATTGCACATAACCGGCAACAGAAGAGCAAATTATGCCGCAGAAAACATTCTAAGGAGCACACCAAATGTCGGAAGCAAGACAGAACAAATCATTGGAAACTGAACACACAAATCATACGCAGGAAAAAAAGGCCTGAATTTACGGAACTAAAACCATATTAATGGCTCAGATCTTGGAAATATTTCGAAAACTGAAGGTCACATGGAAAACACATGAAGTTGCCATTATTAGATGAGTAACATGCATAGGACGAGAATTACTATATAACAATTTTTATAAACAAACAAGAACCATGAATTGCTAGGAGGCTAAGACAAGTGCATAAAAGTACATAGTACCACATGGTATTGATGTGAATTTGAACATCCCATCAGCATCAGATACAGCATGACAAAGAGCTCTCCCAAGACCAGGTGCATTACCAGAATCATGCGGGCAATTTACTTCCGAGACATCATCCGAGTATAGGTAAAAATGAACTCCCAATATGGGATTTCCCTAATAATATGACATCAAAAAACAATAGATATATTTATTTAGGAAAAAACAACGAACGAAAACAAGATCTATAAAATATTAGCAATTGCCAACTACAAAAATGGAAACATTCCAACTTTATATGGAACTTTTTTCATCCATAGACAAGCTAGAGAATGGAATGTGTGGCAAGGGCAGCCAACAAATAGTGTAGAATTCAAAATAAAGCTGCCAGGCAGGCAGTGATTTTATTACATTAAATACAAACAACCAAGTGGCAATGTTGAACTATTTTGCTGCAAAACTGAATCTCAAAAGGAAAAGAAAATGGAACACATTCTCATATGGACTGTGGCAAAAATTTACCTGGGCAACCACATAACCACGAATATCATATCCGGATACGAAGAAAATATCATCCACCACACTGTTATCAAAACCTAATTCCACCTGCACAGTTATACATGAACTTGAAGCAATGTGTTTTCATGTAAGAATATTGAAAAAGGAATTTGTGTGATCTGAAGCAAAAGAAAGACATCGGATATGCCAATTGTAGTAGGAAGGAAAAGATTATGACAAAGTAGAGAGAGGAATAAACGGATCCATGTAATACCTCTACAGAACCCTTGGTCTCGATATTTAAATCAGGACGTGAAGCACCAATTTTATACTTTCCTGCATGCATGGAGAGACGTTGTTAAGAAAATGGAGATTTCAAAAAGGATAAGATTAGCTATGAATAACTTTAATGTATGGGCAGTTAAACACCTAGCTGCTTGAAGTTTAGTTATGCAAAATGTAAGTTACTTTCCTCCTTGCACAGCTAAGACTCAGTCATTCTTCTACGATGTTCACTTATTGAAAAAAGTTCTTGCACAGTGGACTCCATATTAAAATTAAAAATAATTGCTTGTTTAGTAGGAAATGCCTGGTGTTATTTCAAGGTGCCCATTTAATCCGTGAAAGAAGAAAAGGGAAACACATCGCTTGGAGAAGATTTTGTTGTAAAGAAAAAAAGGAATGTAAATAGTGGAACACATGTCAACTCGTGAAAAGGGATAGATGACAGACTCTGTTTGACAGTCTAAAAGGATACCAAGTAGTCCATCTTCAAGTATCAAAAAAGCATACATGCTATAATCCAGGAAGAAGAAATAGGAATAATTATTAGACCTGGAATAATGTTTTTGAATGAGTAAGTTCCGGTTGATGTAGTTGAGATTGAAGAGACAACATCCCCACCGGGAGACATAAGCTCGACATTCACATTTGATGGACCGCCATTTTTAATTGGACAGCTATCCCCAGAAACTGCTCCCACGACTCTTCCGGACAACGTGAACCTGTAGAAGTAGTAAAGACGGTAAATATATGTGGGCCACATACAAATAATTTAGTGTGATCAATTACTTAGAAAATAAAAGTACCTACCCAGTAAATCGAAAATTTATATCTTCATTGGCATTGCAACCAGCATGATCAACAACAACAGGAACCTAAAAGAGAATTTATATTGTCAAGAATACAGACCAGGGATAAATATGATATATACCAAAAACACGTAATACATATTAGTAAGACATAACCAAGAATCTCAACCTGTTCGGGGGCACATGTCCATCCCTCGGGTCCCTTGATTTTGATTACATAAGAACCCTGCAACCAAGGTAAAAGCATATTTACAAAACGAAACGAGATGAATGTTACTACAGGAAGATCCCCAAGAGATACATTTGATCAATGATCAGTTAATCCAACTTCTCATTGATATAACACTCCACAGTAAATAATGCAACTTGCAAGTGAAACCAAAACGTTACAAGTTTGACTTCAAAATCAATTATCATATGCTCCAGCTATAACAACTGTTTCAATTATATAGAGTTAATCTAGGCATGAAAAACATAGCTTTTGAACTAGAAATGCATAAGTGTGGAAGTATACAACGGAAATTGTTCGAATTTCACCCTTACTCAATTAGTAGGAAGGATTCAAAAAGAGGTACCTTTTGAACTATGACTCGTGAATAAGGATGTTATTAAAACAAAAAAAAAAACAGATTCAAGAAAATCAAACCAATGCAGATCAAAGCATCAATAATAGAAGGGGTAAAAGTATCGAATAGACGACCTTGTCGTAAACTGGAATGAAGTAGTAACCATTAGGAGCACATTGTGTCCGGTCCTTAACCAACCCATCCAACGTCCGTAGTTCAACCTACATTGTCGAAAACCAGAGTATCATTACATTTACATGCCAACACTGATATACATTAATGCACTATATATATCATAGATCCTAAAAATTAATCAATGTCTTAACAGATTCTCATACCGTAACGTGAGAATAATCCAATTTCGCATCCGTTGGCTTCCTCGATTTTATCAAAGCTGAACTCGCCTGCAAAAGAAAACAGATAAAATTAATTCCATAATAATCGTTCATAGTAAGTAGGTTAAGAATAAAAATAAATATCCATAAGTAGAACAAAATCCAATTAAGTCCTTGGACAAAAACCTCAACGAATCCACCACATCCTTGAATAGAAGAATCAGCAATCGCGAGTCGATAACTGTGGAAAAGTATAATCGCGAGTAGGAAATAATAGTTTATGGAAGCCATTGTAAATCTCGATAATCAAAGAAATGAAATGAAGAAGACGGAGGACTCAGATCTTAGTCGCCCATGGATTTTGGATTTTCAGTAATATCAGACTTCTTTATTGACACTGTTGAATTTGGATCCGGAACTACGAGGGTTTACTTTACTGCAGGTAGCGGCTCAAGGAGTACTTTTTTTTCTCACTCCAATACCACAACATAAAAAATAAAAAATAAATAAGTAATGACATTATTATCCTTAATGAAAATTGATATCACACACAAAATGTGTGTGGTATTGCTTTTATTAAGGATATTAATATTATTACCTATTTATTTTTTTATTTTTTTATGTTGGTGGTATTGGAGTGAGAAAGAAATGGTATTTACTGTATCTATGGTTTTCCTTAGGGGGGAAATAGCTACTCTTGGAAGAATGAACAAAAAAATACATTTTACTTGGGCTTATTCTTATGGGGGCATTTGCTATAGCCGCACGATAATCTTCTACCGTCAACAACAATTTTTTTTGCACAAAATCCTATTTTTTTACTGAAAATATGGGTTTATCTTCCACGGTTATGTGTGGTTTGATTGCGAAGATTAACTAAACAGTAAGGTTTAATTTTATGTTTGGTTAGCCTAATTACTTTGGGTCGACCGACTAGAATTTTTATTATGTCTTTTAATGACTGGTTGGGAGAAAACCACCTCTAATGTTTTTTAATAAGAGTGGATCCAACCACATTTCCAATATTAGTAGTAAACTAACTCTTTTAATGATTCAAAATAGTCTTTTGGAAGCCATATTTCTCTAAAAAAAATATAAATACAAAATCCGAAAATTGAAAATCCATACAATCGTGTCTAATTAAATCCCCAAAATTTAGCATCCCAATCTTTCCATAAACTCCCACCTGCAAAGCCTAAATCGCATAAACGACTACAACGACGATGATATCTAGGACCGAAACAGTCGACCATTCCTTCCTAAACCCTCACCTCCATCACCGGAATGTCCGAAAACGATTGCTTCGGCAACGTTCCCTAGAGAAAAAAAACAGTCGACGAAACTACAAAATTGACGAAATTCTTGAAGTTGTACACAACAACGCACCGCCATTATTTAATCAAAACGATATATGCGAGCAGTACGTCCCCTATTCAATAATAGACTATATTGCACTCCCACAAACACCCAATTTACAAATGTGTTTTTTTTTTAACAGTACAGGAGAACGTATGACAAAATTAATGAACGACATTCAGCAAGCTGACACGGGTAATTAATCTATTATTCTTGTGGAATAACTAGACATTTATATATGTACAACCTGTCCAAACAAATCGCTTACCGGTTTGTAAATGTAGGCTATTTAGAAAACAAAATAGTCGATTTTATTTGATATATAGTCAAATAGGTTGAAGTTACACTATATATATTTGGTTTTTTGTGTTGATTGTGCTGATTTATCTGTATAAACATGAGACATTAGACTATATTTTGTTAATAGTTGCTTTTGAATTAGCTGATTTTCAAATAGTTGAATGTGACATAGCTGATTTTTTAAATAAGCAAAAAAGAACAATGCTGAAAATAAAAGGCCAAATGATTACATTCTTCCATGAAAGCCCCAAAAGATGAGGTTGATGCACCACCTTGATGGGCTTGTATTGACTTTATTCTCTTGGGAAATAGTTATGTCTAACATTGGTTGATTTGTCTGTCTATATTGATTCAACAAAATAGTTTATATTTAAGAAAAGAGAATGCAAATGCTGGTTTTATAATAGATGTTTAATTAAACTGTTCTTCAATAGTTAATTTTATGTGAACATAATCATGTCCAATTGTGATTAATTTCTTTGTCTATAATGATTAAGAAGTATAATTTATTCAAAAAAGAGAATCAAAAAGGGCC